GTGTGTGTGTGTGTGTGTGTGTGTGTGTGTGTGTGTGTGTGTGTGTGTGTGTGTGTGTGTGTGTGTGTGTGTGTGTGTAATTAGTCAAAAAGTGATAATACAATGATATTAAGTGAAAACGCAATAATTACGGATTTGTGAGACTATTATAATTTAACCAGTTAAAGTACATATCGATTTTGAATAAATTCGATGGAGAGATTACGTATTTAAAAAATAATTAAAAAAATAAACAGAGAGACTGGAGCGTAACAGGCGATTTATCCACGCGAGAGGGTTCTGCGAAAGAGGTGAGTCGTTCATCACACTGTTGATCCCGCCATTGCCGAGAGCTGGGCAACGATGCTCAATTTAATGGTTGATGCTTTATTGGATTTCCGTGCAATTGCATTTTTGACTTCGATTCTGCTACTAACGACTACTCTTGTATCGAGCTGTCCAGCACCCCCTATTCAGCGCCGATTTCTCGCTAATCCTCTCGCGCGCGTAAAAACGGTCCCATGTGTAATTTAAAAAATGCCCATGTCAGCGCGACGCCTTTTAATAGCGATGTACACCACTACAGTCCGGTTGATTGTCGAATATACATCTATCTATTGGCATGTGTCTCGATTGGCAGAGAAATTCGGGACAATTAGAAATAACTGCATAGCGAGCGAGAAAAGTAGCAAAATTACAGCATTTATTATTAATTTGTGAGCATTTTATAATTTTATTAATTCCTAGCAAATTAAATATGCAAAAAATGTATTGGCTTAAAGACATGTATGTATAACTTCGTGTAGTTACTTCTTTGTATCAAAAATATATAAAATATTATATATATTATATATTTTAAAGCATATTTAATTTTCGGTAACTGTTCATTATGATATAAAGACTTCTGTAATATAAAATGTAATAGCAATCTACATAATATATATAAAATATATATAATATATATAAATATATATAAAAAGAAAAAAAAGATATAACGTAATACGTATAAAGAGTTTTATTCTATCTATTATATAAAATTATTTATATTATTTATATAAAATTAAATTAATAAATCTAGTTCTTTCATGATATAAAAAATTGCTAAACTAAAAAGTTTTTATAAAATTATTAATTAATAATTACTGAATTAATTTTATTTAATAAATTTTATGCAGGACAAATAAAAGCTAAAGTTTTTATATTTTGCAATGTATGTAATGTCCTTTATTTAACATATTATTTATTTAATTAACATCGCGTAAATAAATGTTATTTAAAATTGTTTTATAAAATGTAAATAAAATATGATGCAATATATTTATCAATTTATCATATTAATATAATAAGAAAAATAGTTAAAATGTATTTTTAGATATAATCATCATATAATACACATATTTTATCATATGATTTATTAATAAAAGTTTATTTCAAAGAAGAGATTAAAATTCAAAATATAATAAATTATTTCATAAATATGTATCAACTTATATAATATTTATGGTTGATGTATGGTTGTGCAACGTGTTCAATTTTCAATGTAAATATATTATAATTAAGTACTACATTATTAATATTATATGTTAAATAAAATTAAAAAATGAAATAGTAAAATATTATCTTACCACCAGGAATAACATTTCCAGCACCCTTTTCACCATATCCAAGCTCAGGTGGTATCGTTAGCTTCCTCCTCTCGCCTACGCACATATCCAAGAGACCTTGATCCCAACCCTTAATAACTTGTCCAACACCAAGCTGGAACGTAAACGGCTGATCTCTGTCCAAACTGCAACAAGAAAAATGGATAGTCTCAATAAGACTTATGTTATCAATCGTCAAAGTTTACATAAAATGTATTTCTTTGTGTAAACGTGATCTCTACATCTCAAGTTATAAAAAGATAAAGGACAGAGATAACATATTGTTCATCAATTGTTTAAAATATTTGCTTAAATAATTCAAATAATTGTCCAGAAAAATTTTAAGCAAATATTGCTTTTGTTCATAACACTTTCAAAGTCAAAAAAAACATTGGCATATTTCTAAAATAATAAATACAAACATAAATTAATAGACTATAATAGAAGAATTTGGACATTTCCTGTGAAGAGATATTTTGTGCTGAAACAATAGTGTATCATTGTTCTGTCTTTTAAATATACAATAAGTTTTTCTTTTTTAAGTATAACAAATTATATTTAGCCTTTACTCGCATACATTGCATCAACTACACTAAACTTCCTCCTTTCAAAGCGAAGTACTAAACATTTGTCATAACGAGTTTCGCAACGACTTATTCACGTCGAAAGTTAAAGGCGACATGGCGCGAGGATAGGAGCGACGGATTAATTGGAAAACGCGCGGAACAATCAAGTCCCATTTCGCTGCACCGCGAACTTTCGCCAAGAATTTGCTATTGTGCCAGCGTCGAATGTATCTTGCATGACTATGCTCGATATTTCGCTCTAAATCTAGCTTAGGTCGTTACTGGAAATATCAATTTGTCGTTTTGTAAAATGGAGAAAAATAAGAAAAAAATGGAAGTGTGGGGAGGGGGAGGGGGAGGGGGGGAGAGAGAGAGAGAGAGAGAGAGAGAGAGAGAGAGAGAGAGAGAGAGAGAGAGAGAGAGAGAGAGAGAGAGAGAGAGAGAGAGAGAGAGAGAGAGAGAGAGAGAATGAAATGTCCTTTATAAATGGTGACAAGCAATAATATTCAAGATTAATTCTGAAAAATATATATATTAGAATTATTTACTTTTAAATATTTTAAATATTAACAAAGCAAAAATATGGATATTATAAACTTTTTTAATTCTAAAAATATTGATGTTCATATATATATATGTTTTAATCTTTATTTATAACAAAAATTAAATTACAAAGTCTCTATTAAAAAAATTATACCATTATTTATGCTAAATCGTAATATAATTAAGATAATATTATTAAGATTTCTCATTACATTTTTATCACATTTTTTTCATAATTAAGTAATTAAAACCCGTTATCTAATTATCTTTATATAGCATTTTTTTTCTGTATGCGACATATATAAGCATTTTCTAAGACTTAAGAGAGACTTTTTCCGTTCACGTGAGAGATCTATTTTCCTTTAAATTTTCTGCTAACTTCTGAAAATGTTTCCAAGAATAGTGACACAAACTAGAGATATTTCCAACTCGCTTCGTCAATACGCAATAACTATTTAATTATATTACCGTTCATGAACCGTTAATGCATTGTCATTATATTAAAAGTAGCGTCAAATTATCAAGTTTATATATCGTTTATATATACTATTGAATGTAACTCAAATGCCAACACGAATAATGGTTGCATTTCCATGTCTCTTGTACCCGACTGATTGTTGCAACAATGTATTGATAATAAAACATTGAAATTGTATAGATATGGAAATCAAACATAACTCTCAACCAACAGAAATATTGCTTATTTAATTGTATCGAAGCGGTTTTCATTTCCCAAGCAATTAAATTGAATGTTACCTATATTGATTATACATGAATGAGACAAGTCAATTTAAAACATATTTGACGAAAACAAATGTCATTCTTCAATAAATAGAGTTTAAAATAACTTTAAAGCGTTTATGCGAGATTTATTTCGTCGAATCTTATTTCTTCGTTTTATACTTCCAAAATTCAATTTTAAAAAATATTATTTTTGATAAAAATATTATTGTAATAAAACTTAGTTAAATACTTTAATATCGTAGCTTCAGAATTTTCAAATTTTCAGAAAATTTTCATCTTTATATTTAAACTCGTCGAAATAATATTAAAGCTGTTAAATTTAAAGAGTGAGAAAAGTAATTTTATACGCAATCGTACTACTTTTTAAGGTACTATTTTTGCAACGTCTTTTACTTATCTCATTAAGGCAATGAATATTACAATGTATCATCATACGCTCGTTTAATTATTATAGTAATAGAAAATGTTTTATAATTTCGATGCATTTATACCTCTCAATTATTGCAAGAATTTTACAGATGTATTTAGTATTAAATATTTTTTAAGCATATTTCTCAACATAAATATGTTTGTTAATCTTATTCATCACTGATAGTAAGTCAATATTATTGTTATTTTTCATATTTCTGCGAGCGATTTGTAGTCCATCAACGAGATGAATTTTGAATATTCAATTATTACCCATGTGAGTGAGAAAAAGGATGTTCTATGATTGACACAATTTTTATTAATATTTATATTAATAGCGATAAATTGTCGATAGACGAAATGACGAATCGGAAAATTTTTCAAATCTGACTGTTTAAAACTTTTTATCGATAAAATCAAATTTGTGCTAATTATTACAAATATAAATTTTTAAATTTACTTTTTATTAAGAATTCGAAATAATTAAATGGACGCGATAGATAACAAATTGATGTGTCAAGGGAATTACAAATTATACAAGTACGGATTACATCAAGAAAAGAGAGTAAAAAAACCGAAAAAAGGCCAAGCACGTCTGAGTTCCGGATATACCGCGAATAGACATTCTTGTGAAATGTCACGAGCGCACAAGGAATAATACTCGAGTGCGAGAAAGAGAAACAAAGGGATCAAGAAGGAAAGAAGAACAAGACATTAGGACGAAGAAGAAGGCGAAACAATTGCTCTGGGACTTCTGGCTACTGAGAAATAAAAAATTTCGAAGGACCGAATCCCGTTGTCATTCTTCTTCCAACATTCTTGTGCACGCGTTTCGTGAACTTTCGTTTTGTGTTCTGCATCGCGGTGAGATCTTTAAATATTCAAACGAGATACCTCCGAGAGTCACTTGTACATGCGTTAATATGTTAATACGTAAAAAAAGATAAATATATCAAATTGTATCAAGAAAAAAATGTTAATAAGTAGAATTAAATTTAATCCAAAGATTAGAAGTATTTTTCGTTTAAAAATCAGGTGCAAGAAATGTGTAATAAAATAATCATTTAATTGTGATTGTCACAACTATGTGTACATAATATAATAACGTTTCATTAAATATTAATAAATGTTTAATTAACACCTGTTAACATCTTATTGCTGAATATAAATTAAATTCTTAGGAGAATTGACAGATAAGAAAAAGATAGATAGATAGATAGATAGATAGATAGATAGATAGATAGATAGATAGATAGATAGATAGATAGATAGATAGATAGATAGATAGATAGATAGATAGATAGATAGATAGAGAGAGAGAGAGAGAGAGAGAGAGAGAGA